TTTCTAGCCATTCGAGCAATGCAGCAGCTTGGCCGTCACGGAGCTCTCGTCTATCCCGTTGGAGCCGAGACGATACACCATGGATTCTATGTGGATGACATGATTTTCGGTGCAGACTCTGTGGACGAAGCTAAAGTCGTGCTAAACCAGACAAAGAAATTGTTAACTCTTGGAAACTTTCACTTGAGGAAATGGTGCTCCAATGATGATCGCGTTTTGGTTGATATAGGTGGTAATGACAGACAGGACTTTCTAACCTTCGATGATGGTGCAAGCATAACAAAGACACATGGATTGGTTTGGGACCCAAAGTTGGACGTATTCATATTTTCATTTTCTCCTTTCGCAACACCAACCAAGGTAACTAAGCGTACAATCCTTTCAGCTATAGCTAGGCTTTACGACCCGCTTGGTTTGATTGGACCTGTGGTGGCCAAAGCCAAAATATTCTTGCAGCATTTGGGGAAGGAGAAGCTACATTGGGACGAAAGCCCACCTCAAGCATTACAAGAAGAATGGCTGGAAATATGCAACCAATACAAGCTAGTTGCTCGTTTTAGTTTCGACCGTTACTTGATAATGCCCGAGGCGGACCTACAAATACATGGGTTTTGCGATGCGAGTATTGCTGCTTATGGTGCCTGCATATACATACGTGCTGAAAGTGACGGACACATACTAACCAATCTTCTCTGCTCCAAATCTCGTGTAGCTCCACTTAAAGCGCTCACGGTACCGAAGCTTGAACTTTCTGGACATTACTTTTAGCCGAGTTAATCGCAAAAGTGGTAAGCGCAACGCATTTCAAAGGAAAAAAGGTATTTTGTTGGTCAGACTCCACAATAGTGCTATCATGGCTACGTAATGAACCGGCCAACTTCAACGTTTTTGTCGCAAATCGTATTAATGCAATTCAGACCCTAACTAAAGGTATGACTTGGGGCTATGTTCCAACCGATTCCAACCCAGCAGACATTCTTTCAAGAGGCGCTAGTCCGAAAGATCTTTTAAACATGTCTTTGTGGAAAAACGGACCATCTTATCTTGGTGGCGATCAGAACAATTGGCCAAAATCTCCTCTCTTACCAATAAAGGACTTACCCGAATATCGAAAGCGTGCATTTGTATTTATTACTATATCAGACATGTCTTTAAATTGCAAATTTGCTAACTCATTTGATCGATTGCAGAGAGTATATGCATACATTTATCGTTTCTCCCGACCACTTGGAAAGAGGCTTTCGGGACTACTCAACGCCATTGAGTTACAGGAAGGCACTTTTCTGCTTATTCGAATGATTCAGAGGACGCATCTTCGAGATGCATACAAAGCGCTAGAAGCTAAGGAGGCGATAAAGACTTCATCGGAAATTCGTTCACTGAACCCCTTCCTAGACGAGCGTGGATTGATCCGAGTCGGCGGAAGACTTCAGCATTCAAATTTGGATTTTTCATCGAAACACCCAATTATTTTGCCAAAACGTCACCCGGTGACTGAGTCGATCATCAGCAGCTTTCATAGAAAACTTTTACACGCTGGACCACAATCGTTGTTAGCATCTATTCGTCTTCAGTATTGGCCTATTGGCGGTCGTAAAACCGTAAGTCGAGTTATTAACAAATGCGTTCGTTGTTTTCATGTCAAGCCTAAGCTTATGGAACATTTAATGGGAAACTTACCCTCCGAAAGGGTTAGATGCAATCGAGCATTCCTAACTACTGGAGTGGACTTGTGTGGACCATTTTTCTACAAATCCGACGTACGAAATCGAGCACCAGTTAAATGCTACATTTGCATATTTATTTGCTTCGCAACAAAGGCCGTTCATTTGGAGCTGGTCAAGGATTTGGCAACCTCTTCATTCCTCGCAGCCCTAAAGAGATTTATTAGTACGCGTGGTAGACCGCAAACCATATGGTCGGACAATGCCACCAATTTTGTTGGAGCCAAAAATGAGCTATCGGAGTTGAGAAAACTATTTTTGAGCCAAGAACATTCAAGAGCTATTCATGAGCAGTGTGCCAGCGATGGAATTGAATGGAAGCTGATACCCCCTCGCTCTCCCCACTTTGGCGGTTTATGGGAAGCCGCAGTAAAAATGGCCAAATATCATTTGTATCGAGTTATTGCACTTTCTAAATTAAACTTTGATGAGTTTCGCACACTTGTGTGCCAAATATCTGCAATTGTAAATTCAAGGCCTTTATGTCCAATTACAGAGAACCCTGACGGTTTAGAGGTACTGACCCCAGGGCACTTTCTTATTGGCGCATCCTACACAGCAGTCGTAGAACCTGACATCACCCCATTACAAATTGATCGTCTTAGCAGATGGCAGCGTGTGTGCTACATGCAACAACAATTCTGGAAGAAATGGCATGCCGAATATCTGACTCTTCTGCAGCAGCGCCAGAAGTGGCACTCATATTCGTCGAATCTGAAGCCTGGAGACGTGGTTTTGATCAAAGATGAGAACAATCCCCCGCTAAAGTGGCCTCTGGCCAGGGTCATAGAAACTATTTCTGGAAGCGATCAGGTGGTGCGAGTTGCAGTTCTGAAGACATCAAATGGCGTATACAGACGAGCGGTTGCAAAGCTGTGCCTTCTTCCAATTGAAGATAATATCTTGAAAGCCTAAGTCTTTCAACGGGCGGAGTATGTTTAGTTATAGATAACTACATTATATCTACATATTAAGTACCCAAATTCATTGGTACTATCTTTTACATTTTGCACCATCACTGGTAGCATTTAATTATATGTACCATCACTGATAATATCAGCTGCGCATAATTGCTTAGCTCTTCTTTATGCTAATTATTTGTATCTGCGCATGTCCACATATATGCATACTTGCATACATATATACGTAAACGTTTGCTTGCTATCAATCTGTGCTCCCGCTACTGCATTGATAGCATTCAATGCTAAAGAACCGGTTTAGAGTTTTGAGTGACTTTGATAATGCGCTGTTATCATATTTGTACATACATACATACATACATTAGCATAACTGTATTAGACTGGCATATGTACCACTAAATCAGGTGATCTACATCCATTTATACCGTATGCCATTTTACTTATTAGCTGGAAGAAATTTTGTAAGCTAAGATTTTATGTTCTCACTTGCATTTTGGTCATCTTGGCAAGCGCTAGCATATGCACTTAAAGCATTTTTAGTAAAACGCCTGCATATCTTTCTTGGTGTTTCGCGCATACATACTACTCGTTTATTTTTAATATTGTATAGAGCGCTAGCATATAGTTTTAAGCAGCGAATACAAATCAATAATTATTGTTAAATAAAATTGGAAAAGCCTACAAACTATTTTTATCGTACTTTATCTCGCATTTAATACGGGTCAGTAAAAAAGCTTATTGCCCCCATAACAACTACATTGCTTATAATATTATGGGAGCCCTACCTTACTATCAATTTTAGTGAAGAAAAAATTTGTTCCCTAGACTAAAGAACTTTTTTTTCACTATGAGTGAAAATCTCTCAAGTGGGCCACCCAAAATTGGACGGTCAAGAGTTTTTCGCACAAATCACTTTATTCGGTTAACGACCACACAAAAAAATATAATTTGAGCAATTTTGCAAAATTCGAAGTTTTACAAGACTTATTGTTATTAACTTATGAATTCAGTAATTATTTATTATCCACTGATTCATATCATGTATCTTGCTGATTTTTCCACGATAATAGCTAATTGGACACGCTTTAGCCTGATTGTTTCAATTTTTCGAACAATCATTATTTTTAATAAAATTTTTAATATTTTTTTTTTAATTTTTATAAACAAATGGAAATATTTATTACTTCTCGATCAGATATTTTAATCGTTTACATTGGAAAAAATAAAGAGGATAGTATAATTGTTTGTGCCGCAGAAATAAAAAACAACTAAGCACTTTTTAACACCCCCAAAATAGTTTGCTACTTGTAGCTGTATACCTGAACGAAATATAATCCTTGGTGAAAAAATGTATTTGTGGATTGTTGTTGTTGTTGGCGCGCGGAATGAAGGCAAAAGCACCTGTGGCAGGAGCGAAAAAAGTAATAACTAGTCACTCCGTGCAAGTTTCCGTGTGTTTTTCTTTTAAATAATGTATTATAGAATAAGGATTGATATTCAATGTAAACGATTAAAAAATCTGATCGAGAAGTACTAAATATTTCCATTTTTTGATACATTTTTTATTAATTGAAAACTTTATACAAAATAATGATTATTTGAAAAATTTAAAAAATCAGGTTTAAGCGTGTCTAATTAACTATTATCGTGGAAAAAATCAGCAAGATACATGCTATGAAGCAGTGGATAATAAATAATTACTGATTTTTTTAAATCTACAAACATGTTTTTTTAGCAACTTTCTAAATTCTTCATTAACAAACGTATGGAAAATTTAACTTAAAAAAACATTTTTTTATAAATCTCTGGCTCTTTGTCAATAAGAAAGTCCTAATTGATTTTTTGATACAACCAATATTTATCGGGTTGCTATGAGGTAAACAATAGCTTACGGCGAGACACCTAATGTTTTGTTTGTTGTATAACTTTTGAAAAAACAAATCGCTGTTGTTTTTTTTGCGTTTACAAATACTTTAGGACCTCCTCTGCAACATATCCGAAAATCGAGCAAAAAAAGTTTTGAAATAGTGTGGAATGCCTCTTATTTGAGGTTTTGTTATTTTCTTATTTTTCTCCTCGTGATTATAACCAAGTACCGACAGGGGACACAGCGAACACAACAATTCGTAAAAGCAACGTGACCAACCGACCCGTTTATTATCTAACCATGGCAACGGTTGCTAAGTTCCTTAACGAACGCAAAACTAGCTACCAAAACAAAAAGGTGAACGTTTGGTAATACATATTATAGTAAATTATAGTTTCTGAAAGCGTTTGTTAATTATTCGCTTTATTTGCTGCGCAAATATTGAATTAATTTCATTTTAAACAAAAAACTAATTGAATTAGTGCAGAAATGAACAACAACGGATTCAAAAACAATAAGTCGAAGTTCATAATAAATACTTCAGGTGAGTGTGTAGTCCATAAAATAAATAATTAAAATGCGCCGCATTCTGAGACGGATGATGATGTATCTAGTAAGTTCAGTATGAATTTTGATGTGTTCCTCCGGTGGTTACTGAAATTGCAATTATGGGCACTCAAAAGCAAACATGAAAGTCTTTGCCGCATATCAGATGTAGTGAAAACAATCAGGACCACGGTTAACAACTTTAATACGTACTACATATGTACATATGTATCGTTACCTTAATAAAAAAGGCCTTATCTAACTTGTTTGTTTCTTTTTGAGCGATTAGAAACTTGAATAAAAAATCAAGTTATTAAGCACCAATTCGTTTAAAATGTTTTATTTTATTGAAGACTGTAATTCATTTTATGCTGTAGCAGTTATTTTCATGTTTTCGAAGGATTTGGGTGAGTAATCTGCCGACTTTCGTACATAACTGGATTTTGAACGAAAATGAGTTAGGGCTTTTCTCTATTAAGGTAACGTATGTATGTATGTATGATATCTTCCTTCCTTATTTTTACTTTTACTATCAGTTCTCATCATCCGTTTACCTTTTACTTTTTTTTACGATTTATAGTTGAATACTTTGCGGCTAGTGCGAGCGCTGGTCAAGCTGCTGACGAGCATCTGACGGCCATCGACGAGTTTCTCGAGAACGATGAACTTACCGTCATTGCAGCGGTGCATAACAAATCAGATGGCAGGATAAAATTTCATCATCGCATACCTGATGACGAGTTATGCTTACTATTTTATAAGATCCCACAAGTCAGCGGTGGCAGCTCTGGTGGAAGTGAATCCACGAACATTTTATCTGCTTGCAGTGGAGCATACGACCAACCACTTGGCATATTAACACTGGAGGGCGGATTGGTCAAGTCGATTTACAATTCCGTTTCGCGTGTATTCTCACCGCATGCCGAAACCAGGGTAAGTTAATGTTGCACATGAACACTTGATGTCTTTACTTAGTTTTTGTTTTGGTCAGCTGAGCTTAGTGATGTTAGCGTTTTTAAGTGACTTTTACTTCGTAACCTACCGTTTGCCTTGCAGTAAAGTTATGTTGTGCTTGTTTTTGTTTTAGATGGCACGTAACTTTCTTATGGCTGTGGAAGATTTCATGCAAAGAATGTTGTATAACTAACTAGTTAAATGTTTTCGCTGCAACAGACATACTATGCATATGTACACAGAATACTTAGGCACTCCGCACATTAAGCGCCTAATCATAGTAATGTAATTGTTTCGGCATACTAAAGAATGAAGCTTTTCAACTTTTGTTTACTTTTTTGTGTTGGAAATAAAAATTATTTGTCATTTCAATAGGAAGTAATTTAAAATGAGTTATTTCGTGTTAAAATTCGCGCACACAATAAGCGTTTATGCAATATTTTACTGCAGAAATATTTTCAGAAGTGTGTAGTTGAGAAAGAACTGCCAGAAAATGTGTTATGTGTAGAATGTGTTTATTAACTGGTGACATGTGCAGGGCGAGCAAGTGTTCGGAAGTCGAATCGTAGGCGCGTAATGTACAGAGTGCCTTAGTCTACTTACTTACATTTAAGATGCTCACTAAATTTTCTTTTAACTTTTAAGAACACTGACTACAGTTCAGAATTGAGCGGTTTACTTGAAAGTTTACACGTGTCTTTGGGTTCAACTTTAGGTTTGCCGCAAAATGGTAAGTTTCTATATATTATAACATCTGCCTGCATATTATCTTTATTTTAAATACTGCACATAAATAGTACAATCAAATTAGAAAAATCTGAAAATTTTTTATGTTGGTCGATTTCGTTTTTGTACTGAGAGAAAAGTTCCTGGGAATGATCGACTTGACTTTTCACAATCGCAAGAATGTTTTAAGACGTTTTAAAGTCGAAAATAAACGATCTGCAGTACATGAAGTAACATGCATCGTTGCCTAAATTTTTAGTATAGAGAAAATGTTTGGGACAAATTAATGATTACATTCGTTTAGAGCTTTCAACGCCGTTGATGGACGAGTTGAATGATATTTTTTATTCTAGTTCTCTTTCCCTAAAGAAGACTGTGAAACAATATTTTCCATGTCCTCAATGTCTTAGGCGCTAAGCAGTAAATTATCAATTCAACATATATGCTAATTTTGTTATTATGGGTTTGTGCTGAAATTTTTCGTTTAGTTGGGTAGCAATATTATCAAGAAAAAGCACTGCTACAGTCTTTTATAATAAGCTTAAAGACTCGGTGATACACTTTTTCTTTGATTCTTTCTGGTGTTGGAAATGCGTAGAAGTCTAACTTCACCATTTACCGAGCTCAGAAGCTTACCTTCTGTTTGGAATATATGTATGGTGTATTATTTAACTGGCAACGTTACATTCGTACGCATTTCTTTCAATATCAATCAATTGTCCATTAAATACCAGAAAACCACCGGTTTTTTTTTTACTTACAAGCTCTTATTTAACTTTCTCATCCCGCGGAAACTTACAAGCGATTTTAAACTATTTTCCCGACAAGCTAAAGACCTAGACATAGTTCCAATCACAATGGCAATGCAATTTAAAATATAAATGAATTACCTAGATGGTCCAGGGGTCTTGATACAAAGGCGGTCAAGTAAAAGTTATGGCTAACAGAGCGTAATTTGCCTGAGAACGTAAAACCGCTATAAGTATTTTATAGCTGCCGGCGATAGTAAATAAATACTATAGTTTCAGGCGCTTGTATGATAGATTCTACTGTGAATTCTTTGGTAAGAGAAAAACCAGATATTAGCTTCAACTATGTTTAACATGCATGTCGGCCGCTGTGCTATAGTGGTAAGCAGTGCCTCGCTTCCACTCCACAGCACCTGGGTTCAAGCCCTGGTCAAAGCAACATCGCAAAAAAAATATAGAAAAAAGGTTTTTTCTTAACAGCGGTCGTGCCTCGGCAGGCAATGGCAAACCTCCGAGTGTATTTCTGCCATGAAAAACAGCTTCTCATAAAAATACAGTCGCCGTTCGGAGTCGGCGTAAAACTGTAGGTCCCTCCGCTTTGTGTGACAACATCAAGGCGCCCGCCACAAATCGGAGGAGAAGCTCGGCCAAACACTAACATATGGGTAAGCGCCAATCTATTATTATTATTATTATGTTTAACATGACCCAACTGTTAAGTTTTAGGCACTTCTGTTAAGAATTACTTTATTTGGTTTCCTCACTTAGGGAGTTAGTGAAACACAAAGATACGATAAAAGGCACGCATAATCCACATGCATCCATCTTAAAAGTGTACATACTTCTACTTTCCCGCAGGCGAAAAAATTTAAGTTAGTACGATGTGCTTTGGGGTGAACTCGAACGATGTCAAATCTAATTCATTTCCATACAAAATTTGTTCTCTATTACACTAAAATTTAATCAGCTATAAAACTACTCTATATTTTTCTTTTAATTCAGATTATGATATCATTATTCAGATTGGAAAGTTTGAAGTTTTTAGGAATGCTTGCTGATTAGTTTTTTTTAAATGTTCTAGCCACCTTTTTCCAGTGCTGAGAGATGCACCCCCTGATATAACTCAGAGGCACAAGGAGATATGAGATATCTAGAGCCGACCCATTCCTGGCCAGCTCGTGAGCCATCCCCTTGCTGCTGTGTCCCAGCACCCAGATCAACGACAATGCAACGACATGCCTGTCAACTAAAGCCACGACGTTCTCCCTGCACTGTTTTATTATGCTGGAGGTGATCCTTGATCGCAGCCTGACTACCCGAGAAAATAGCAATGCTGGTTCTCGCTAGCTTCGAGGCTAAAATTATTTTGCAGGCCTCATTTATGGCAGACCTCTGTCTGAAAAATACTGGCCGAATTTGGTAATCGAGTAGACTCTTCGATTTGTAGGTCGGTTGAAAATATTCCCGCCCCTGCGCCACAATGAATTTTTGAGAAGTACGCAAAAATTTATACTTCGAAGCATTCAGTAAAAATAGGATCCTTTCACTCCCTTCTTGATGGAAAAATCGTGCCGAAGTTTTTATTGAAGAGAATCGAAGGACAAATGTAGTCAGTTTTTTTTCGCGAATGCTTGGGTCGTTGAAAGAGTGCAGAATACGTCCATGCCCGTACGTACGTTCTTTCCACAATCTAAGTTCCAACTTCAGGGCACTCTGTGAATCACTTTCCTTAGGGTTGTCAGACGTACCGCTTTTGGGAGTAAACGTACTCCTTTTTATTGCAATGTACTCCCTTGTACTCCAAAAAAAATGGAAATGTATGTACTCCTTTTTTTAGTTTTGTACTTCTTGTGTACTCCTTTTTCCAGATATTCATTTTCAAACGACTTCAGAAAAAGGAGAAGGTAATGTTACCGCCTAACTTTGTACCACGTCAACCGATTTCTATAATTCTTTTTTTAAAGGAAAATTGGTACCTCAGGTGTGGTCCCATACTAATTTAGTTTAGGTCCGTTCATTGGATCATGAAGAAATTAACGATAACCCTAAATTGTTATATTGGAATTGAGGTCGGTTTTGTTTTTTGCTTAAAAACGACTTGTTTATCATATACTTTGCCATTCGTATTGTGGCTAACACGAGTAAAGTTGAGTGTGATAGTAAAAAAGTGTAAGCACGGTCGTGGCCAGGTAGGTGCAGGGCGGTCAGTTATAAAAATCAGAAAAATATTAAATTAATTATAAAGGTTAAATTAAAAAAGGCCATATATTCAGGAATTTTGGAATTCTTTTGTGTAACTTAGTTATTTATTTTTTACATTAATTGTTGATTTGAAAAAGATATCTAAGATATCTTTGTTTGTTTGCACTTCATTAATGAAAACGATCTCAAATATGTGATTATATATTTAACTAGCAGACCCGGCGAACTTCGTCCCGCACAAAATTTTTATATATTTTATTGAAGCTTTTTGGTCCAACATTTGCACCAACAATTCACGTTTACGATTTTCATGGGCACATTTGTCTGCTAAGATTAAGGTTTGGTGGTCATTTGTCGCTTTAAATAACCTAAGGAAAGTGTTATATCCGTTTTTGAAATTCTCAAGTTGTGCGGCATTTCATAGCACGGTTATTCGCAAAGCGAAATAAATTTTTTCCTCTTCACTCCCTGGCGGCAACAATGACCCGGTTCTATAGTGAATGTCCTAGAAGCTTTACAGTGTAGTAGGTGGCAATTTTAAAATGGGTGCGAATCAGTGTTCTACAGAAATGCAATATACATATGCTTATTTCAGACGAAATACCTTAAAAGTTTGAACGCATAATAATATTGGAAAATCACATCCATTGGGCCAATTGCAACGCAGGAGCGTTCGATATACTCAATGGTGCAACAGGTCGATTTAATCTGACCTTCACGGCCCCTTTTCTCACTTGGCTATTTTTAGTAATAGCTCGACTTCAGCACCACTTGGCAGCACGTTTTTCCAATAGTATTGCATACGTATTTAAAACATTAGCCAAATCGGATCATAAATAAGATTTTTAGTAATAACTCAACTACAGCGCCAACTGTCGGATTTAACTGTGAAACTAAACCATCCAGAGACCCACTCAAATACACAAAAAGTTTCATTAAAATCCGTACAACCGTTTAGGAGGATTTCACTCACAAACACACCTACAGAAGAATAACAAAATTCATTCAAAGATAACTAAAGGTCGGTACGTTTGTAGGCCTCACACCCCTTTTCAAATAGCCCAAATTTTCTCCATGAGTATGGGCTTGATTTCAACTATATACTACCTCCATACGAAGTTCCGGTACTGTACCATGAATACTTTCAGAGATATGCAGTATAAAAATTCGATTTATATGGGAGGTGCCACGCCCCCCTTTCCAACAGCTGCCCTCTTTCTTCATGAGTATGCGATTGATTTCGTATATCTCCATACCAAGTTCCAGAACTCTACCATGAACACTTCCAAAGATAGGCAGTATGAAAAATTCGGTTTGTATGGAAGATGCCACGCCCCCTTTTCCAATAGTTCCAATTTTTCTCTAAGAGTATGCGATTTATTTCGTACATCTCCATACAAAACTCTAGAACTCTACCAAAAAATTTCCAGAGATAAGCAGTATGAAAAATTCGGTTTGTATGGGAGATGTCACACCCCTTTTTACAATAGCTAAAATTTTTCTCCAAGGGTATGCGATTGATTTCGTATATCTCCATACCAATTTCCAAAACTCTACCATACACACTTTCAGAGATATGTAGCATCAGAAATTCGGTTTGTATGGGAAGTGCCACGCCCCCTTTACATATAGATTTTTTTCAGCCTAAAACCATCCTTGGGACACGTGCGGCAGGTGGCAGTTTCAAAAAAATCGGTTCAGCCGCTCTCGAGCCTTGCAAAAACTAACAAACGGCTTTCTAAACATATATTGGTTGAGATATATTATATATTATAATTATATTTTGACAGTATCCGTTGTTTCTGATTGGCGCAAAAAAATCTTGCCTAGTGACGAATTCGCCCCTTGATATGGTCGTTACTTAAAGCTATTTATATTCGAAATTGCATGAAAATTGGAAAACAGGAATCTATAAGCTTATCCAGGCAAAAAGCTACCTACGTACCGAATTTTAAGCAAATCGGACCGTAAATACGATTTTTTCGAAGAGATCAGTCCCTGGTCCACTTCTCGGAAAAAATTGACCATATATCCTAATATATGCTAAAAAACT